TTAGTCATAATAATGATAATAAAGGTGATAACAACAACAATATTAATAGTAATATTTATTTTAACAATACTAATAGAAATAATATGGTAATAATAACGATATTTAAATATCTATTTTAATAATACTAATTAATGATAATAATATTGAAGGTGATAATAGCAATAATAACAGCAATAATAAATTAAAGATAACGTTTATTTTTATAATAATAGTAATACTAATTAGTAATAATAATAATAATAATAATGATACTTATAATACTAGGCCTACTTAGTAATAATAGGGTAATAATATCGATAATAAAGGTGACAACAGCAACAACAATAATAATAATAATAATATGAGAAAAATACCAATAAAACACCAATAACAATATTTTTAAAATTACTATTATTAAAATAATAATACTAAGACTAATATATAATAATAATATGAATTAAAAAAAAATTGTATTATTTATATGGTAACAATAATAATATCAGCAACGGTAACTAACGGTAATAATAACAATGACACCAATAATAACAGCAATATTATTGTGGCCGAGTTGACTTGTGGCCGAGTTAACTTGTGGCCGAGTTGACTTGTGGCCGAGTTGACTGTGGCCGAGTTGACTTGTGGCCGAGTTGGATCGAATTCGTTTTATATGGGCCTACATGTACACACAGTGACATAAATAATATATTTATATACATTAAAGCAGGGAGTTGCTTTAACAACTCCCTGATTAAAGTGTATACAATACGGTAGTCGACTCAGCTACGTACCGTACCTGTCTCACTGGCTGTAGCATTGAAGTAGACTTGGAATTCGAGATTCATTATGTTGTAATTAAACAGTATTCCAAGGAATACTACGTTCAGAATAAAACCAGCTGCCACCAAAACGATCCCTTGTCGCAACCCATTCATCGTGCGGTCCAACGTTCATGTATACGATCTAAACTCTGTATTGCGGTGGTCATAGATCGATTACTAAGCGTATGAGGGCGTAATGCATGCTTCCATGCAACATACTTCGAACCCGGTATATACTTTAGTTTGGTCGTAGGGACTACCTTTTATATTCATGATGTATATAATTTAATTATTATGCCCCTGGACCAGTGGTAGCGCCAGCAGAGGCAGAAGGGATGGCACCTCCTCGTCCGTCAGAGTGGCCTGGACTAAACAAAACTATAAATTTGCCTATCCAAATATCGTTTGATTGTCAATCAAGCTAATATTGTGGTCTAAAAGCACAATTTGACCATATAAGCCATCTCACTCTCCTCATGGATCACACCAGGATTTTTTTATTCCGAGATTCGCACCGAGGCTCTAGTCGGCCCTTCAGTTCCGACCCCCTTGCCATGTCGTACCCCTTGTTGGCAAATTAGCTCTCCCCACTGGCGTCACCCCTGCTTCTTGGATAGCAGCTCAAATTTTATCTCTTTTCCCTCTTCTTTATCATTTTTTACTAGGCCTATTGTTACTATTGGTACTATTACTATTGCTATTATTTTTATTTTTGTTTTTATTGTTATATTTAGGCCTATATTTAACCAATTTGCGAATTATTATTTTACCTCAGTTTATAAATTTGGATCTTATCAAGTTATTTTATTTTATGTTCATTCGGCGGTTTATTATTGTTGTTAATACTGTATTTTAAATGTGGGTCGAACTTATTTGACCTCCCTCCTCACTCAGTTTTCTTGTTTCTATTTTATGATATATTATAATTATGGATTGTTATTTGAATATTATTTTGTGTGTAGAAAAGCCTAATAAAAAAGAAATGCATGGTTCATCAACATTAAACCACTAATTTCTACTATGATAGTAGAGATCAGTGCACTAATCACTAATTGTTCCAACATACAATTGTGTATATGCTGTTTGAAGATGCTAATCATTCATCATATTGGTATCGCTAATGATGATACTAATAATAATGACGACATTGCTGAGGATGATATTGATGACGATGGATAAAGATACTTATGAATGGTGATGATGATGATTATGATAATGATATTGACAATGACAGCGGTACTGATTACATTGATGGTAATTATGATGATGATACTGGTAAGTATAAAGTGTCATTGCAGTTATATTATAGTATTTTATAATAGGCCTCTGCGTTTTAGATGTACAGAAACAGAAACATAAACTCGTTAAAAGCATTACGTCAAAGTACACTGGGCTTACTCTATCTGAAATGGCGTGAACAGTCACAACATTAATGAGTGATCAAAATGGAACAAAGAATAAAGATGAACGTAGACCATATGTTGATATACATAATACATGTACATGACATATATTATAAACATAATGAACGTGATATATAGAACACTAATAATATACAAATATTATGATAAGCTTATATAAGCAATACAAAACACAAACGATGTGGCTGTATAATGCCAGTTTTAACGAATCATTATCTTTGGTAATAATATTTATATAGGCTTATATATTATCATTTATGAATATAGACCTATTCCCGATACTAATAATATATATGAAAAGGATGATCAAGATCATGATCAAATCTTTTAATCAACTATTGAAGTACAGTAGCCTTAAAGAAAAAAAAATAATAATAATATACTTATTATGTTACTTATTTAACATTTGTTGTTTACAATTTTTATTTTTTATCTTAACGAAAAAAAAACAATATTATAGCAGGTTACCATCTTTAAAAATATCAAAATTTGTTTACATATTTACATACAACGTTTTACTTATGTTAAGAGTTTGTACCACGTCAGTACTGTTTTAGTAATGCCTAGGGAAACAGCATAAGCTGTATGTTAGCATCAATTATAATGATAATAATAATTATAATATATTATATATAAATTTATTTAGGCCTATATATATATGCATATATATATACATATATAGTATCCAATAAATTTCTACTGAGGCAGATTACAACCGTTTTGTTTTTTATTTTATCTTGTCACGCTGCCTATGCAGTTTCTTGATTTTATATATTTTGTACATAGACAAGTATATAAACTAGTATATATAGACAATTATAAACAAGTATATGATACAAATTTGTTTCGTATAGTTAACTGAACTGACTGGATGAGTGTAATTAGCTCTGACTATATAGAACAAATTTGTTATTTCTATAGGCCTATATATAGGAATTTATATATTATACATTCATATATATATATATATATATACATATATATATATATATATATATATATATATA